CTAATAGGGACAATAAATTAGGAATGGATGGGGGTGGTGGATAAAAATGCAGGATGAAATTAATCATTAAAGCAAACAGTTTAATTTAATGTCTGTTCAGCCCAGTTTTTAGCTGTCCGTCGGTTCTTGGACACACAGCGGTTGCAGGTCTGTGTGCTCTTTGTGTATTCCTTCACCACGTCCGCTGGTACAGCTCTCGCACAAATTTTTATTGTCTTTGTTTGCACATTTTTTGTGCATTTTCTGTCCAGATCCATCCTTTCTTCCTTTTTCCTTTTCAGACTTTTCAATTTTTTTATTTACATGTTTTGCCCTCACCTTTTTTGTTTTTGCTCTCAGCCAGTTTAACACTCTCACCACCATTAGACTCATAAATATCTTTCTCTTCCCCATTCTTGCAAATTCTCGCTGGCCTCACTCCACAACAAAGCAAGTCCTCAAGACTATAGCAAATAAAGAATATCAAGTAACATTATGACATCACACAATATTATGACATCACGCAAGATTAAAATAGGTTGAGATGGCAATGTGCAGCACAAGGAGCATGCCATGAAACGGATAAATATTTAAAGGGCTAGTCTTGCCTAATTTTCATCATTAGTGGATATACTATAAGGTAAAATGATTAGATGAAGTAGAAAACACAATGAGTCCTTTGCTTGTTGGTGTATTCAGAGCTATTGAGAAACAAATGTGAAGACGCTCAAAAAAGTGAAAAATAAAATTCTGATAGCTGTAAAACTCCCTAAACGCTGTGATTTCTCAACACAGTAATACCAATAATAACCAATACAGAATAGTGGTGTGCTTAAAATATTAATACTAAGAATACTTAGCTCAACCTTTTCCATTCTCCCAGTATATAGGGGAACATGGAAAAAGAAGATAAATAATACACTATCTAGTGCAGACTGTGGCGGACCTCCTGGCACCCCCAATGAGTACTATAAGTACCGCACCAGACACCATAACCACTGTAGCCCCCTTAGCCTCCGCAGCTTGGCTGGGATCTTGCCGTCCCTTCCCACCTTGGATCAACACCTATATCCAGCTCCCAGTGGGAAGACCTCTACTCCAAGAGAGTATCGCAGGTATAGTAATACAAAGAACAGTATAGCAATCCCCCCACACGAGCCAAGATTTATTGCTGGGAAGTAGTCTGTTTAATGGGAGCACAGTCACAGAATTTATAGAAGTCACAAACTCCTCCCCTGTGCCTGAGTGATAATTGAGTCAGGAACTGTACAAACTCAATCATCTCCAGGTACAGAAAAATATAAAATTTTGCACCACCCCAAAAATACTCCCCAAAAACATGAAACCCCCACAAAAGTTACATCCCCTTAGAGCCCCTATCTGGGTGACCAACACATCCAAAAATCACCCAGATCGGTTCAGGGGTTCAGGATTTCTATGGAAGTCAAAATTTGAGGGACCGTGCACATTTATGCTCTGCATCTATGCTCAAAACAATTCCATGAAATCAGTGCTAATGGTCGGTGAAGTTCTGTAACTTAAAAACGAACAAACTACCTATCTCTAGTGCTCCACAGAGTGATCTTTGTGGTGGTAGTACATCTATGAAGTTCACGCTCTTTTTTCACAAACTACCAAATGTAGTCAATAGTCATACTGTTAAGCTTGTTCCCCTCATCCAGATGAACGATTCCACCAAACAGTGCCCTTCTAGGTGGTGTAGAATCCGAAAGCGGGCGATGATGGGAGTCCAGCGGTGTTCAGGAGTTTCAGTGTCCGATTTGAGTTCCCTGAACTCGACAACCAAACACCGCTGCCTGCGATAATGCGAACAAGATGGCCGACACCTCGTGGTCGTTCATATGACTTGCAGCCACCCAGACGAACAATTAGAACACTGCGGTTAGAATCGTTAAGAAGTGATGATAAGGCTTCACAAGTTCCCGGGTGGTCAATGGTTCATGCACCTGTTCGGTTCCCAAACAGCATAGGAAAATGGCACAAAAACATTTTTTTTAACAGGCTTTCTGCAGGGCCCATAGTCTTTGGGCAGGATGCTAACCAGCAGGCCCCTCCAGGAACACGTGGCAGAGACATTTCTGCCACACAGACTAATTATATTAATGATTATGTGCAATCAATTAGAAATACCCAAAAGTTATTATGTTAAATGTCTAACAAAGTAATAAATCCAGTAGTGCTCAGTAAAATGTGATATGTTAGATGCTACATCGACACATGCTACATGTCATGGCAATGAAATCTGTAAAAGAAAAAAATTGGAACCCTTTCCTTGGGAGAAAAAGAAAATATATATACACTGCTCAACAAAATAAAGGGAACACTTAAACAACTCCAAGTCAATCACACTTCTGTGAAATCAAACTGTCCACTTAGGAAGCAACAATGAGTGACAATCAATTTCACATGCTGTTGTGCAAATGGGATAGACAACAGGTGGAAATTATAGGCAATTAGCAAGACACCCCCAATAAAGGAGTGGTTCTGCAGATGGTGACCACAGACCACTTCTCAGTTCATATGCTTCCTGGCTGATGTTTTGGTCACTTTTGAATGCTGGCGGTGCTTTCACTCTAGTGGTAGCATGAGGCGGAATCTACAACCCACACAAGTGGCTCAGGTAGTGCAGCTCATCCAGGATGGCACATCAATGCGAGCTGTGGCAAGAAGGTTTGCTGTGTCTGTCAGCGTAGTGTCCAGAGCATGGAGGCGCTACCAGGAGACAGGCCAGTACATCAGGAGATGTGGAGGAGGCCGTAGGAGGGCAACAATCAGCAGCAGGACCGCTACCTCCGCCTTTGTGCAAGGAGGAACAGGAGGAGCACAGCCAGACCCCTGCAAAATGACCTCCAGCAGGCCACAAATGTGCATGTGTCTGCTCAAATGGTCAGAAACAGACTCCATGAGGGTGGTATGAGAGCCCGACGTCCACAGGTGGGGGTTGTGCTTACAGCCCAACACCGTGCAGGACGTTTGGCATTTGCCAGAGAACACCAAGACAGGGAAATTCGCCACTGTCACCCTGTGCTCTTCACAGATGAAAGCAGGTTCACACTGAGCACATGTGACAGACGTGACAGAGTCTGGAGACGCCGTGGAGAACGTTCTGCTGCCTGCAACATCCTCCAGGATGACCGGTTTGGCAGTGGGTCAGTAATAGTTTGGGGTGGCATTTCTTTGGGGGGCAGCACAGCCCTCCACCAGAGGTAGCCTGACTGCAATTAGGTACAGAGATGAGATCCTCAGACCCCTTGTGACACCATATGCTGGTGCGGTTGGCCTTGGGTTCCTCCTAATGCAAGACAATGCTAGACCTCATGTGGCTGGAGTGTGTCAGCAGTTCCTGCAAGACAAAGGCATTGATGCTATGAACTGGCCCGCCCGTTCCCCAGACCTGAATCCAATTGAGCACATCTGGGACATCATATCTCGCTCCATCCACCAATGTCACGTTGCACCACAGACTGTCCAGGAGTTGGCAGATGCTTTAGTCCATGTCTGGGAGGAGATCCCTTAGGAGACCATCCGCCACCTCATCAAGAGCATGCACAGTCGTTGTAGGGAGGCCATACAGGCACGTGGAGGCCACACACACTACTGAGCCTCATTTTGACTTGTTTTAAGGACATTATATCAAAGTTGGATCAGCCTGTAGTGTGTTTTTCTACTTTAATTTTGAGTGTGACTCCAAATCCAGACCTCCATGGGTTGAAAAATTTGATTTCCATTTTTTAATTTTTGTGTGATTTTGTTGTCAGCACATTCAACTATGTAAAGAACAAAGTATTTCAGAAGAATATTTAATTAATTCCAATCTAGGATGTGTTATTTTTGTGTTCCCTTTATTTTTTTGAGCAGTGTATATATATATATATGATTCCGAGACAGGCAATCAGAATATAATGGCATATAGCAGCAGTGGAACTGATAACACCAGCCAGTTACTAGAGAGAGCCCAGCTTGGCTTTAATATCTGCCCCCTGCCTAGATAAGAGAGCTTATATAAATGTATATATATATGATTCCCATCCCCAAGAAAAGGGTTGCTTTTTTAAATTTGAGATTTAAAAAGACACTTTATTTATTTTATTGGGGGTATATCTAGAATCAGCTTGCAAAAATGCAAATCTCTTGACTGCAGTCTTTGCAAACACTCTTAACCCCGCCCAGATTTCTTAGGTTGTCCAATCACAGACTTCCCAATGCAGCTCAATGAGAAGTCTTTGTGAGGCTGGTTGCCTACCTGTAAGGTTTAGCTCTACTGAGATAAACTGCCAGGAAGTAACAGGAATGGTTATTTGATTGACAACCAGGTGATGAAACAAGGTTAATTTATAAAAGTGCAAAAGTGCTAATTTATTTAGAATTTTGCACTTTTTGTAAAATGAAAAAGATTACACATTCTTCACACATAGTCACATATTGTCTAGGATGACAAAATTGCTAGAAAGACTGAAGTCTATGGTGTTCAACCGTTTTTTTTTTTGCTGTTGACCCAAAAGAAAGCAAAAAAAAAAACGCAATTGTAGCCATTTCCAAGAATGCCAAAATGTGGAAAACATTTGAGATTTCTTCATGGATCATCAACCTGTTTGCATTTATATCAATGATATCATTGAATATTCGGTTTATGCAAATAAGCATTTAAGCTTTAAAAAAAAAAAAAAAAATCTATAGAATCAGCTAAAACAACCACTGTAGGCAGAGAAATCCACATATTTATTGTTCTTTTTGCAAAGAATATTTTATTTGCTGTAAGTGAAAATGCTTTTCTTCCAGTCTAAATGGGTGACCTCTATTGTATATTCCTGCTAATAAACAGGTTAACGGTTTGTACTCACCCTTTATATATTTGTATAGTGCTACCATATCCCATCTGAGGTGCATTTTTTCAATACAAACCCGATTCAGTTTTTCTGGACTTTCCTTATAACTATTGTTTTCCATTCCTCCTTCTAATGTTGTAGCTCATCTCTGGACTTTTTCTAGTTCTGAAATATATTTCATTAAAATATAAAGTGCTTCAGCAAGCTAAAGTGCTTAAAGTTTTTTGGAGTATTCTTTTAAGGCAAAGTAGTTAAATTGGAAAAAATGTCCAAGTTCAGCTTGGCTACTTTGGACTTAAATTTGAATTCCTGACAATTTCTGATTTTAGTGGATAACCCTGTTAGTGTATAACAGAGCTCCAACACAATGACTCTGACAGTAATTTTTCTTTAACCCCTTAAGGACCGGCCTGTTTTTGCGATGTTGCACGTTAAGGACCAGAGCAGTTTTGACACTTTTGTGGTGTTTGTTTTGTTTTTTTCAGGACAAGAAGGGCTTTCTTTACATACCATTATTTGTATCATGTCTTATATTTTATTTTAAAAAAATAATAAAAATATGGTGAAAAATTGAAAAAAAAACATGTTTTGGACTTTTACTTGAAAAATCTTTTACTTATCTACAAAAGCTAATGAAAAAACTGCTAAATAGATTCAAAATTTTGTCCTGAGTTTAAAAACACCCAGTGTTTACATGCTTTATTGCTTTTTTTTGCAAGTTATAGGCCTATAAATACAAGTAGGAAATTGCTCTTTCAATATATATATATTTTAAATTTATCAATAGTGACATTGTAACACCGTTATCTGCCATAAATCCCTGAATCACACCTCACATGTACATATTTTTTTTAAAGTAGAAAACCCAGGGTATTCAAAATGGAGTATGTCCAGTCTTTTTTAGTAGCCACCTAGTCACAAACACTGGCCAAAGTTAGCATTTATATTTGTTTGTGTGTTAAAAATGCAAAAAACGCTAACTGTGGCTAGTGTTTTTGACTAAGTGGCTACTAAAAAAGGTTTAACATACCCATTTACAATACCTTGGGATGTCTTCTTTTGCAAATGGTATGCCATCATGGGGCTAATTCTCATTCCTGGGCTACCATACGCTCTCAAAGGCAACCTAACCAATCTGACAAATTTCAATAAAAAAAAAAAAAAGTAAAATCAAACCTTATAAATTCTCTGGACTTTCAGCCTGGGTTGGCAGGCAGGTCCCTCAAATTGCAATCATTAAAATTACTTAATTAGGTAAAAATATTACATAAATGCGCACGTAGAATTTCAATATATATACATATTTATATATTTGACGTCTACGTGTATATTTATGAAATTATTTATGTAATTATTTATATGGACATATGTATATTTCGTATTATTTTTATTTATTTATTTATACATATATATATATATATATATATATCATTACATTCTAAGTGTATTTTGATATAAATATATATATATATATTAATATCAAAATACTGTTAGAATAAAATTACATATATATATATATATTTTTTTAATTATTAAAAATAATTTTTACTTGTTGTTATTTATTTTTATTAACATATTATTTATAATTTATAATAATATATATAAACAATATATATAGTTATTATATATATTGTATATATACGTGTGTAATTTAAATTAAAAGTGTATTTTTATATTAATATACGTATATATAAATATAAAAATACACTTTGTATAATATATATAATTTTTTTTACACTGATTGCTTTATTTTGTAACTTTTTTTCTGATTTTCTACTTGCAGGGAGACTGCCTGTCAGCACAGACAGTCCCCCTGCAGGCAGATACACAGACACCTATTGCGGTCATGTGATCGAGTGATCACGTGGCCGCGGGGTCCTGATCTGCCGAGGGAAGACTGCCCGGGCAGACAGGCAGTCCCCCTGGACCGGGAGGAGCGCTGATCGCTGCCGGGGGACCGACGGCGATCAGGTCAGTAGCCCCAGACCATTATGACGGTTCAGGACGGTCATCGGTCCCCAAGGGGATTTTTCCGATGACGGTCCTGAACCGTCATCGGTCGTCAAGGGGTTAAACTATAATAAATGAGTGTAGAAATCAGTCTGTGTAAGTACAATACACTTTTCTTGTGGGTAGAAAACCAGATACAGGGCCACTAGGTTTAAATTGTCTAAGATCGCCCTTTTATTGACCAAGAGCCCAAGTCTTTATCTGCAGCTGAATGTACATTAGAAACCTTGAAGCTTTCAAAAATCTGACTCTCTTACAACCTTCCCACAATGTGATTGGAATAATTATCTGCTTTCGATCTCTGCGAGTCTTGAGAGATTTCAAATCTTCCTTATAGCATCTTAGCAAAGGAGTTATTTTAAAGGGCACTTTCTATTTTCCACTAAAGGTGCACCTTATGTCCGGCCCTCAAAGTTTGGCACTGTTTTTTGCTTTGACATAACATGATGAACACGTACTCTGCAGTAGCTATCAGTGTTTTTATTGACTCCCATAAGGGACTTCTAAAAAGGTATTTGTCAAATATATCCTTACCTTTTGTGTCACTTTACCCACTCCCTCTAGCATGTAAGCTCATTGAGCAGGGTCCTCAACCCCTCTGTTCCCGTGCATCCAACTTGTCTGGTTATAATTATGTGTTTTTTGGACCCCCCATTGTACAGCGCTGCGGAATTTGTTGGCACTATAAAAATAATAATAATATGCGTATTGCTTGCTTTTAGAAAAAAACAACCAAGTAAAAACAACACAGAAAAAAAAGATGTTCACAGGGTTATTCAGTAACATGAGATTTCAAAGTGAATTTCAAATTTAAGGCAAAAGTAGCCTACCCGGAAAAATTTTCAAGTCAGATATGCTTTCAGATCGGCCACTCTGGCCTTAAATTTTTAATTTATTTTGAATTCACTATCATTTCTCACTTTAGTAAATTACCCTGTTTATTTAACGTTAATGCAGTCCCGAGAAAGATATTTAGAGTAACCTGGAATTATTTGAGGTGACCCTTTAAGAAGTAGTGTGTGTGCAATTTACCCCTTTAGCAGTTAGTGTTGGATTTAGGGTCTTGTTCTTCATGTTAATTAGTTTTTTTTAATTCATTGATTTGTTGATTGTTAAACTCCACTGGAGCAAAATCTTTCCACCACAAACTATAGAAGCCTCATCATCGATAGCTGTTCACTATACGGGTTCCAGTTTTCAAGGAGACTTGGGGCTATAAACAGGCTCAGACTGGCACACCAAAAAACTACCAATATCACCAATGTAGCTGGGGCTGCTGCAGGGGTGAAAGATTTTTTTATTTATGAAATTTTGCAGCAGGTGGAAGGAGCGGCTTCTCCCAGTCGCTCCTCGTGGGGGACAGAATTGAAGGCCACTGGGGTACGTTATGATGTCATATCCCAGTGGCCAACACTCGGTGTCTGGTAAAGAGAGAAGGGGATTGGCTGTAGACCCAGTGTCAGTGGAGGAAGAGATCCGGGTAACTATTAATGTATATATGTAATTGGACTGTGCAGTGTGTAGTTTGTGTGCGTGTGCGGTTCAATGTGTGTCAGAGAGTGTTCTTTATGTGTATGGGTCTATGTGTACAGTGTGGTTTATCGGGCAGAGATTGTGCACTGTGTGTATCTGGGTCAGTGTGTGTCAGAGAGTGTACAGTGTGTGTATGGGTCAGTTTGTGTGTATTTATCAGAGAGGGAACAATGTGTGTATGAGACAATGAGCTTGTGAATCAATGAATGTGTGTCAGAGTGTGCAGTGTGTGTGCATTGTTCAGTGTATGTATGAGTCAGTGAATGTGTATGTCAGAGTGTGCAGTGTGTGCAGTGTGTGCATGGGTCACTGTGTGTCAGTGTATTTGTGTGTATATGCCAGAGAGTAAACAAAATGTGTATGAGACAATGAGTGTGCAATGTGTGTATGGGTCAGTGTATGTATGTGTCAGTGAATGTGTGTGTCGGAGTGTGCATTGTGTTTGTATGGGTCGGTGTGTATCAATGAATCTGTGTCTGCGTGTGTCAGAGTGTGCAGCGTGTGTGCATTGGTCAGTGTATGTATGAGTCAGTGAATGTGTTTCAGAGTGTGCATGGGTCAATGTGTGTCGGTGTATTTGTGAGAGAGTGTACAATGCGTGTATGAGTCAATGAGTGTGCGGTGTGTTTGTGTGGGTCAGTGTGTGTGTATGGGTCACTGTGTGTCAGTGAATCTGTGTCTGTGTGTGTCAGAGTGTGCAGTGTAGGTGTATGTATGAGTCAGTGAATGTGTGTGTCAGTGTGCAGTGTTTGTGTATGAGTCAGACACATACATACAGAGACACACATACACACACACACACACACAGAGACACATACAGACACATACATAGACACACACACATACATACAGACACACATACATAGACACATATATATAGACACACACATACATACATAGACACATACATACAAACACACACACACACACACACAGATAAATACAGACACATACATAGACACACACACATAGACACAGACACATACATACAGACACACATACACACAGATACATACAGACACATACATAGACACAGACACACATACATACAGACACACACAGACACATACATTCAGAGACACACATACACACACACATACAGACACATACACAGATACATACAGACACATACAAACACACACACACACAGATAAATACAGACATACAGAAATACACACACATACAGACACACATACACATACACACACACAGACACATACATACAGACACACATACACACAGATACATACAGACACATACATAGACACAGACAGACACAGAAACACATACATACAGACACACACAGACACATACATTCAGAGACACACATACACACACACACACACATACAGACACATACACAGAGACACACACACAGAGACACACACACACAGATACATACAGGCACATACATAGACACACAGACACACATACATAGACATACAGAGACACATACATACAGACACACACAAAGACACACACACATACACTAACACACATACATGCAAAATATTTTAGTCACCCTCCTATTACCTACCTTTTAGGGGCAGGAGGGTGACTTCCCTGGGGTCCAGTGGCTCAGGTTGATGGGAGTCAGAGTTCCCATTCCTTCCTCCTACGCGGCTCCCAGTGGTTACTGGGAGGAGTGACTGGGGCTCTCACTTACTCCCTGTGTCTGACATCATCAGAGGTAGCCCGGTCGCAGAATGGGCCACTCGATGGGCCCGTTCACCTGCGGCTCCGGCAATTATACTGCGCGGCTGTGGCCACAACACATGGTGGCGGGCACCCAGTCGCAGGGGTCCGCAGGGCGGCCAGGCCCCCTGGAGTGACGGGCCCGATCGCAGCTGCG